CCAGCCTTATTTTTGTAGGCCTTATTGCTTTGACCATGCTCCACAACGTTGGTTTTGGCAACACTAGGATTGAACAACTTCTTCTCGGAACTCTTGTTGTCTTCTTCAATTCGAAGTCTAACAATCAGTTCTTCGACGTTCATTTCCTTTCTCTTATACTTAAGATAATTTTTGAATTTTTTTCATGCTAGAGGCAGCTTTTCAATAATTGCAGCCACTTGAAAAGTTTCACTCAAGATTATCCCCTCGGCATGAATCTCATGAAGAATCATTTGAAATTCTTGCACTTGACTGATTCCAGTTTTTGAATCCGCCATTTTATAGTTTAAAAATCTGCCGACAATGAACTTTTTAGCCGGCATCCTCAATTTTATATTTTCGGCCCAAAAACTCTCATAAGTCCTTTGCAGTTTTCATGGTATTATACACATTGTATAGCGAATCTGCCAGGCTATTCATAATATAGTTCTGGCACAGAAAATTCGAATGATTCCAAACATCAAGTGTACTATTGCTTGAACATCTCCCTCATTGAGTTTTGGAGCAGTCTCAGTCAAGAATTTCGCAAGATTCATGATGGTCAGGTAAAATAACATTTTCTACTGTCATGTCTTGAAATTCAACCCATTGAATTTCTCCTATTTTCCTCCATGATTAACCGAAATAGTAACAGTACTTGTTGGAGCCACAGTTTGACATACAACATGACTTGGCATTTTGGCCACAGTCTGAGCCACAGTCTGAGCTCACAGCCTGATTTCCAGTAGCCACAATTTGGGTCACATCCATGTTGGTTGATTCGGTTGCCATTTCTGAAAAATTAAATGAATATCAGTTTTTGAACAACAATATATGAATATGTTTGTTCTTACTTTTGAATCTGTTTTAAATATAATTTTTTTTTTATTACAGCAAGAACATAAACAAACGGATAATGAAAACTGTAGAAATGTGTTAAGCGCTTAAAATACTATAAATTTGCCTGTGTGTGCACGGTTTCCTTAAAACAAATTCGTCATTTCATCGTAGGTGTTTGAGGTTTAATCCCGACGTCTGTTTTCCAGGATACAACGGCAGAACCGGTAGAATCTAAGCACTTCAATTTCTACTCATGCGAAATGAATTTGTGTCAAAACAGCACCACCAAAACTTAGACGAAAATGAA